GAATGCTCCACACACTCTAGGAGGCTCTATACTCTTCCACTCTATTCCATATCCTTCCATACTCTTCCATAAGCTTCCAGAAGGTTCCACACATCTCTAGAATATTCTAGAGGATTCCACACTATTCCACATACTTCTAGAGAGTTCTAAACTTCTCTAGGATTCTCCGGAACTTTCTAGAAAATTCTATACTTCTCCAGAAAGCTCTAGAATTTTTTAGAACCTCTCCAATTAAGGAGGGATCCCAACAGTATATATTATTATATGTTGAATTTGTTTAACTCAAAATGTCAATATGACTGTCTAGGGCCTCATATTTAATTTGCTCTGGACGGCCCTGTCTATAGATTATATTATCAGCCATGGATATTTTGTAATAAGTACATTTGTTTTGGGCCTGCGAGCCCACGTTTTGGCCATATGTGGCCCATGGTTGAACATTGAATATTTCCGCGATTTGTTCAATCCAAATATGTGATGTTGTTATGGTATGAACAATGTTCATGGACGCCTTGTATGATTAAGTCATGTTGACTTGCGAGTGACGTCATTTAGTCATATGGCGGTTGTACACGCGCTCGGATGCGGTCCGGGGCGTGACAGGCTGCTCTTAAGATCAATATTAGCAAAGCGTATGATAGAGTCGACTGGTAGTACTCGTTTGCTGTTTTGGAGCGGATGGGTTTCTGTAGCAACTGGGTTGGTTGGATGCGAATGTGTTTAACCACAGTTACATATACAATACTAGTGAATGAAGATCGTGGTGGCCATGTGATACCGCATAGAGGACTAAGGCAGGGAGACCCTCTCTCACCATATCTTTTTATCTTGTGTGCAGAAGGTCATATCTTTTTATCTTGTGTGCAGAAGGTTTTTTAGCCCTTATTCGACAAGAAGAAATGAGAGGTTTAATACATGGAATTATGATTTGTAGGGGAGCCCCATAATCACTCACTTGCTCTTTGCTGAAGACAATTTTATCTTTTTTCGGGCAAATGAAAGAGAGGCACAACATATGCAGGAAGTCATTCAGGTTTATGCTAAAGCACCCGTTCAGGTTATTAATTTCCAAAAATCTGAAATTTATTTCAGCCAGTATTGAGGAGCCAAAACGGGAGCAAATAGCTAATTTATTTGGAGTTCGGTCACGCCTAGGAACCGGTAAATACTTGGGGCTACCATCTATGATTGGTAGAAGTAAGAAATCTATCTTTAAATATATAAAGGATAGGGTATGGCGAAAAATTTCGAGTTGGAGTTCCAAGCTTGTGTCACAGGCAGGTAAAGAGGTGCTAATAAAGTCCGTCATCCAAGCTATTCTAGCCTATTGCATGAGCGTTTACTTACTTCCCGTCACTCTTCAAGAAGAGATTGAAAGAATGATTAATTCTTTTTGCTGGGGTTCGAGGAGGGAGGATGGCCGGGGAGTGTGTTGGCTTAGTTGGGATAAATTAACGATCCAGAAGGAAGATGGGAGGATGGGTTTCAGGCATTTCTAGGGCTTCAATCTCGCCATGCTCGGCAAGTTTGGTTGGAAATTATTTTCAGACCCGGATACTATGGTTTCACACACTCTAAAGGCTAAGTACTTTCCACATGGGAATTTCATAGGGGCGGCTTTGGGCCACAACCCCAGTTTTATTTGGCGTAGTATCTGGTCAGCTCGGGCATTGTTGAGAGAGGGCTATCGATGGAGTATTGACAAGGGTGACAACATTCGAGTTTTGGGACAGCCGTGGCTCCGTAATAATGATGACCCTTGGATCCATACGAGTGGTAGTATGTTAGAGGGGCTTCATGTCAGCGAGCTAATTACTTTAGAAGAAGGAGTTTGGAAGGAAGATCTGGTCAGGGGAATTTTTGAAGATAGGGATGTGGATGAAATATTGAAGATTCCATTACTTAACTTAGCTCGAGAGGACTCTATGATTTGGAGATTTGAGAAGGATGGCCGATACTCAGTCCGGAGTGCATATAGAATTTGCATGGAGATGATGGTTGACACGAATCATCTTAAAGTTCAAGGGCCATGGAGGCAGATCTCGAATTTGCATGTCCCGCCAAAGGTACACACTTTTCTTTGGAGAGTTGGTCGTGATTGTCTACTAAATCGAAGTAGACTAAGGACTAAGGGGGTCAATTCTCCAGATTTGTGTGTTATGCATGTGTGGGGATAGTCCGGAAAATCATTGGCATACTTTTTTGTCTCGTAGAGAGAGTGTTGATTGTTGGAGAAGAATGGATCTTTGGGACTCCTTGTCAGAGGTGGCCTCCCTGGCGGAGTCTTCCTTTGATTTCCTCTATGAGATTTTTACTAGTTTTTCTAATGAAAAATTAAAAATGATTGGGATGATGATGTGGAGTATTTGGAGATGAAGGAATTGCTGGTTTTGGGAGGGCCTTCGGGATACGCCGTCGGAGGTGATACGCAGGGGAGCTGAGGTTATACAGGCTTGGGAAAGTGCTCGCAAAGGAAACACGGTCAGAACAGCTAGGATTGGTAATGTCACTAAATGGAGTCGGCAGAGTGGGAGGAAGCTGTAGTGTAATGTGGATGCTGCCATTTTTAATGAAGAAAGGACCATAGGTACATGCTGTTGCGTAAGGGACTGTCGGGGACATTTTCGAATAGCTAGAACAGAATGGTGTAGTGCTTCTTTATCTCCATCAGAATCTGAAGCATGGGGACTAAGACGAGCTATGAGTTGGATGACGAATTTTAGCTATGCGGTTATCTTGGAAATGGATTCGAAACAAGTTGTGAAGGATGCACGTGCTTTCTATCAAGGTGGCTAAAACAGAATATGTAGCTCTTATCAGGGGACTGTAGAGCCATTTTTTATAGTCATAGCAACTTTGATGTTGTATTTACTAGGCGTGAAGCTAATGGTAGTGCTCACGTGTTAGCACGGTCATCTATCATCTTTGCTTCTAGCGTTGTTTTTCAGCATATTCCTTATTGTATTCTCAACGTTATTAATAATGAAATGAATTAAGTTTTTACTGTAGAAAAAACACTTATTTGCTACCATTTAAACCAATAACCACATCAATAAATAGAAAACAAGTAAAAAAAATAATGAATGCACTATTTTTTGCATTTGCTATAGATACCGCACATTAAATATGAGGAACAAAGTCGAATAAAACGGTTAAAACCGAACCGGAATGTGCTAAAACCGACCAAAGTCGGTACAAATCAATTGAAATTAACTGAATTGAAATTGGCCGAAAGCCCAAAACCAACTAACAGACCGAGGGAGTGTTTGCAACTGCTTCTGCTTAAAAAAAAACACTTTTGAAGATGTAATGAAAAAGTGATTAGTATTAAAAGTTGATAGTGTTTGAGAAAAAAGTTATTTTGAAAAGTAAAAGTTGATAGTGTTTGGTAAAATAAGTGCTTTTTGTGTAATAGAAAAGGGAAAAACATTTTTCACACGCAAGCCGAGAAAAAGTAAAAATTGGAAGTGTTTGGTAAATAAGTGTTTTTTTAAGCCAAAAGCTGAGAAGTCCTTTTTTTAAGCTATTGCAAACACTCCCTTAATACTCAACCGATAAAATTGAAAGTGAACAAACGAAACAGCCCTTGGTCCATAATCCAGATAGGGTCCTTGTTGTACATCTATGTGACTCCTATTTTTAACAAGTTATCAAGTTGTCTCTATGTATCTCCTATTTTTTATGTTTTTCTAAAACACCTTTACATTAAATTAAAATAGTCATGTTGTGTCTACTTATATATATAGTTTCTCGCCTTCGCATGTTACGTTGTCTACTTATAAAATTGCTAGCTTAACTACTACGTTATTACAAACTACCTCCGTGACTTAAAAACCTTATCATTTCAAAAGTAGGGATGTTTTCTTTTGGACTGAAATTTGCTGGTCTGGTCTGGTCTGGTCTGGTCTGTTTAAGTCTGGTCTGGTTTGGTCTGGTCTGTTTAAGTCTGGTCTGGTCTGGTCTGGTCTGAACTGGTCTGGTCTGGTCTGGTAAACGTCTGGTCTCTGTGTATTCTATAACTACGGAAGTCTGATCTGGTCTGGTCTGTTTAAGTCTGGTCTGGTCTGGTCTGGTCTGGTCTGGTCTGGTCTGGTCTGGTCTGTTTAAGTCTGGTCTGGTCTGGTCTGGTCTGTTTAAGTCTGGTCTGGTCTGGTCTGGGACTGAAAACAGTCCAAAAGAAAACATCCTAGGTAGATTAAGAATAGTGAAAGAAGATATGAATTATTGAGGGTATGATAGGAAGATAGTGGAATAATATGATGGAATGTAGGATAAATCCAAAAAGAATAGTTGTAATAGTGTATTACTTTGAGAATTATTGAGAGTATGATAGGAAGATTTAGAAATGAGAAGATTTTTTTGTTACGAACGAAAAAGGAAACTGGGGAAATTTTTATGTTACGGAGGGAGTAGTATATAAGTGGACATATAGATGATGAAGATCATAACAACAATAATAACAACAGTAACAATAATAATAGTAAAAGTAAGGGGAGGTTTTGACTTTGTGTCCATACTCCATATTAGATTTCACACACATTAAGGGGAGGTTTTGACTTTGTGTCCATACTCCATATTAGACTTCACACACATTTTCAGAATTATTAGTGTAGGAACCCAATCAGCCCAAAAATTGTAAAAGTGGTGCAAAGTCATATGGTATATGATGTTATGATAATCGGAATTATTTGTGTATGTACACATTAATGATTCTGAAAATGGCTTGTAACTTTAATATTACAAAAAAAAGGATGCAGCGTCACATCATCCCCTAATAATAGACACTTAATCAAATGAGAAAATTTAGTATTCAAATGTTCAAATCAAATCATAAAATTTAGATGTAAGCACAGAAGATTGCATAAAAATGTAATTCGAATCACAAAGATTGACACAAAATCGTCCAAAAGTTTACACCGACAGGTCTTTTTAACCCCATAGGCCATACCTGCCTAGCTTTTGTGTGTATATATATATATATATCCGCACCACATCTCAACGCACTTATCAATCTGCCACCTTGTGCTTAAGATGGAGAGAAGACATCAAACACTATGCCATCTTTTCCTCAAATGCCTTTTGTTGGCTGCGATTTTGCTCTCCAACAGCTTCAACGAAATTTCCACTGCTCAAGCCATGCGGTTGCTCCACAAATGTAAGCTCTCTTTTTTGGATGAAATGTAAATATATATTAACACCCAGAAAACCTATACATCACATATCCTAGATCTCCTAAAACCTCCCCCACCCCCACATAATGCGGTGGTGAAAGGGGTTTTTTATTTGATCTAATCCATGCCAAAATAACCAAGTATAATACTTGGTCCATCAAGAGGTTCACAAAAGTACATCAGTGCTGCCCTTGCACGCACACAGATCAGAGGCTAAATTCTAAACAAAGTACAAAAGGATTTTCTAAATCAAACACCATAAAGTCCAAGACCATGCCGCCACATCCATGATGTCCATGCCGCAGTGTATCAAGTGCCCAAGCTGCGATATCTATAATATTCCATGCCTCGGCGCACCAAACAAAAATGTAGCAGTCTATTCGACACCTCGGCATCCATAAAATCCATGTCGCGGCCTTCTACTCAGAAATTAATCAAGTCATGCGGATATAAATTGAAAAGTATTTTATACACCACATGCTTGATTTTTGCAATGACTTCCTCTTCCTTGACGTCCCCTTCATCAAATCGGTTGGTGTTCCTAGCATGCCAAAGGTAGTAAATCGTGGCACCAAACGCAATCCGGACAGCCTTCCCTTTGATCTTTGATCCTTTATGATCTTTCAAGATCCATTTGACAGAGCTGCAAAGCGTGGTCATCTCTCGAGTCATGCCCAACCATTTCTTAATTTTTCCCCAGACCCTACAAGTGTAATGACAACGAAAAAATAGGTGTGGCATTGTTTCCAATCCACCCTTGCACAGGTCACAACGATTAACAATATGTAGGTAACCGAGGTTATCCTGTGTAGGTAACCGGTTCCTCATAGCGAGCCATACATTGAATGAAAACTTCGGAGGGATGTAAGACTTCCAAATGAAGCTCATCCAGACTCTCGACGTCCCCTTAATTCTCAACAATTCATAAATCTTTCCGGAAAGGAGTTTATCATTTACGGATCTACTATTTAGGCCCATAATTGTATCATTCAAATTGTTAAAGCATCCCAAAATTTGGTCCCGAATTTGACTCAGTTTCTTCATGAACATTGAGTCACGATTGTGTGGGATAAAATCCCACACACTCCTACCATTGAGGTAAACCCCATTTACCCACCTCACCCAAAGTGTGTCTTTCTTCCTATGGACATCCCAAAGTGTTCGAGAGAGGAGAGCATGGTTCCAAATCTTTGCATTATGAATGCCAAAGCCTCCTTCCTCTTTTGGTAGACAAATGTCGTCCCAAGCAAGTTTAGAATATTTCCCACCCCATAGAAAAATTCGGCAAATAGTAACTATCCTATGTAGGATTGTTTGGGGGACCGGGAAAACCTGGAGCCAAAAAGATTGGACCCCTTGGATCACGGATCTTATCAACTCTAGTTTTCCGGCATAGGATAAAGTCTTTGTGTTCCAAGCCTTTAAAAAGTTTGAAATTGTATCAAGCAACGGTGAATATTGCGCCACAGAAACCTTTAGAGGGGCCAGTGGAATTCCGAGGTATTTGACCGGGAATGTGCCACGGCCAAAGTCGACAAGGGCCATGATCTCCTGGATATCATTTTCATTAACTCCACCTACAAAAATGTTTGACTTATCATGATTCACTTTAAGGCCTGAAGCATCCCCAAATTCTTCAAGGACTTTGACAAGTATTTCTATTGAATAAGTGTCTCCCCTAGAGAAGAGTATTAAGTCATCTGCATAGGCCAAATGTGTCAATCCTAGTTTTGCACATTGGGGGTGAAACTTAAAATTTGGCCCTTTGGTTTTCAAATTAATAAGTCGAGAAAAATATTCTAAGCAAAGGACAAATAACAATGGAGACATTGGATCTCCTTGCCGAATACCCCTCTTACCCTCAAAGAAACCATACAAAGAACCATTCAAGGAGACGGAGAATGAAGCCGTGGTTACGCACTCCATAATCCATCCAATAAATCTCAATGGGAAGCCCAGACCCCTTAAGACATTATCAAGGAAGCTCCAAGAAATAGTATCAAAGGCCTTACGCAAATCCACCTTGATCATGCATCTAGGTGAGATCCGCTTTCTCATGTATCCTCTAACAAGTTCTTGGGCAAGAAAAATGTTATCGAACATGAGGCGGCCGTCAACAAAAGCTCCTTGGGCTAGGTTAATCAAGCCAGGAAGGCATGGAGTGAGTCTAGCCGCAAGGATTTTAGTAATAATTTTATACATCACATTCGTACATGAGATTGGTCTATAGTCCGAGACCTTCGGTGAGTGATTCGTTTTTGGGATAAGCGTAATAACTGTGTGGTTTAGTTGCTTTAGTAACTTCCCCGAACGAAAAAACTCTTTGATGGCCCGGACTATGTCATGCCCAATAAGTTCCCAATTAGACTTAAAAAATGCAGATGAATAACCATCCGGTCCCGGTGCCTTGTCATAGCCGATGTCAAATAGAGCGTTTTTAATCTCTATTGTCTCAACCGGCGCAAGGAGAGTAACAAATGTAAGCTCTCTACTATATTGGAAGGCCTTTTTATTTGACACTAACGTTAGTTAATATATCTCCATAGTATATACAGATATACTCTCTTAGAATATGGGGAAAATAGCTCGATATAAGAGTAAACTAATCTCTAAAAAAACAAATAGGATTATCTTCTAAAAATAGGATTAAAGTATACACTATCGTCCGAACCTATTATACCCTTGCTAAAATTATATTTTTATTTGTAATAAAAAAAACATAAAAACAAATAAAAAAAAACATCTATACTAAATAAGGCACTACAAATGCATGTTAGCATTTTTTCAGATGGTCATAGTTAGTGGTGTTGGGAGGTGCTAGAGGCGGCGGCAGAAGCCTGCATAATCTTAATTTTTTGATTTTAATTTTTTAATTTATTATTTGTATATATTTTTGTTTTTCTAATTTTTTTTTTATAATTTTTTATTTTTCTATTTTTTTATTTCTTATCAATTTTAGTTTTATCTATCCTTGTGTTTTTTTTACATTTTTATTATAAATAAAACTATTTTATTACTTTTTTATTTTAACAATTAATAAAACATTGAATGGTATTAAGACATAGCAAGGGCTAAATTGGCCAAATGTATTTTCATATTATAAACTATCACTCCAAGTAATTTATGAAAATAAAACAAATTATTCAAAGTATTAGTTATAATAGACATTGTTAAAAGAAATAATTGCATATTTATTACAATAAGTAAGGTCGTTTGCAAAATGAGATCTTCTAAGTGTAGTCACGGTCATAGCAGTTTGTGTTGATTTATTTACTTATGTGACCATGACACTATACTCAATCATAATAGTTATAGACATACTCTGATATATAGGCTTTATTTTAGAAGTTTGAAATATTTCAAAAATATTTCTTCGTGCGTCATGCATGGTCACTTAAGTTTAAAAATTGAACATAAGTTAATATAATTAAGTTACTATGTGCTACAGTCATTAGTAATATTTTGCATATAATCTTTACTTAATCATAATTATAGAATTATTTCTTCTAAATATTTAAATTTTAATTAACTGTGATTTAAATTTAGTAGGAATGTCGTACTTTATATATATCATCCATCAATCATAAAAATTACTCCGTATAAATTACGTATATTACATATATATCAAAATAGTAATTTATATATGATTTGTGTTACATACAGACAGGAGCAGTCTGCCCAACAAAATGATATTCATTGATGAATACTTTCCGCATACTATTTCAGTAAGTTTGCCTACTCTACTTTTATCGTAAAAAAAAATGTGACTAAAATAATAAATGTGACTACTAAGTAAGTTATCATGATTATACTTAAAATATCTCATTTTTTTATGATTATTAATTTAAATTTGATAAAACATCACAGAGAAATGATGAATTGTTGAGACGCAAGTTACACGACGACGTGCCAGGAGGACCCAACCCAGGTAAGTTTATCATTATTTCTAATTTCTATCTATACGTGGTAAAAGACCATAGAAATTACGGAGTATGTGGTAAACGCATTTATTAGAGTTATTAGGAAATAGGGGAGCCACACGCCCCACACTCTTTTAGACCTTGTTTGGGGATGAATGGAAGACTTAGAGGGAAACATCACATCGTCCGCATTGGTTGATCACATGAGTAAAATTTGACACAAGTGATCTAGGATTATGTCATTAAAGTTATAGCGTTGAAGACCCCCTCAAAATATAATGAGGGAGGAATTTGTGCATAGTGGGCACTTATATAGCATTTTGCTTACACACATCCCATAAATGCTCTATCGGATGGTGATGTGGGGCTGAACTCTTAATTGAGATTGAGGATCCAACCATTTGGCACAAGGGATACGTCACATTATGTACATTACTCCACCCAACATATATCCATATCAAACCGTTTCAGTTAAAAAAACACATTGACAGAATATCAGTTATATATGGATATATGTTGGGAGTTTATATCCACGAGAATTCATATTTAGTTTATATACTTGGGAGTTTTTCTTGAACACTACTAAAAAAACCATAGATAAAATGTCACTGCTAGGGACATGTTAGCGCCGTTAGACATTATTTACCAACATTATATTACATGTACCGAAAGTAAACTTCATTGACTTTTTCTGCCAAATATTTTCTGAACAATTTTCTTGCGACTATATATTTTGAAAGAATTTCCTTGAAATCTTTTCTCGGCATGGCGACAGACTCCAGCAAATTAAGAAAATCATGTCATCGGCAGACGGTAGTGATGGGAGGGAATTAGGTCAAGGGAGAAAAAAGTTGAATAAATTAAGGGTTTTGAATAGCTAGTTAATTACATTTTTACATATAATCATTTAAAAAAATTATGGGCCTGTTTGGTATTGGCTGCAACGGTTGAAAATACTGAACTGGCTGAAATGACTGAAATTTTTGAAGTGATAGTGTTTGGTATTATTCTAGCTGAAGTGACTGATTGAATGTGTAATTACCATAAAGGGTATTAATATTATTAGACCATATGAAATAATGTATATGAGTGTATTAAATACGTAATGTACTATACGGCCCACTAGGAATTATTTTTGTTGAAGGCATGTTTCAATCCAATATGTAGGTTTCCAATTGAGTATACGTAGGTTTCCACTAGAATTTATACGTGAATCCATTGATGAGGCCATAAAGGGAAATTGGAAGCACTATGGTAGGTTTCCAGAGGTGAGTTTTGGCTTAATAAAGCAGGGATAAAAGTGTCTTCTACTAATTTAGTGGAGGGATAATAGAATTCAGCTGAAAAAGTAGCTATCCATTTACTTTTTCAGCTGATAATACAAAACATCCACACCAGTCAATTCAATATGTGTTTGGGTATTTTTATGGCTTTTGAGGCTTATAAGCCAATAATTCCTCCTCCAAACGGCCACTATGTTCTCTTAAAATATTTGAATTAAGGGCTCGCTTTTTTTGTTGTGTTTGCACAGGACCCGGACCCCCACATTTCAAGCAGAATGGATCACCATCAGGCCCTTAAAGTCAAGGATGATAGCTCTGTTTGATTTGATTTGATTGCCAATTGTTTAATTTTATTTTGTCCAAGGTTTTCAATCCATAGTGTACTTCGTCTATGCACCGTTACTATTATACATGCATAAGATCGAGTGGTGTAATATAAATATTCTGGAGTATGCCTTTGAAAGTTAGGTTCATACCTTCAATGTATACATTTCCGATTTTGATATACGTACTCTCCACGTCCTGCTACGGATTCATTTATAAATTTTCATTATTTGGTTATCTAAGAAAAGTATTAATTACCCTTATTTAGAGTTCAAATAAACAAGTTTGTGATGCTTTTTTTTGTTTCACCATACAAAAAAAAATGTATTGGGTATAATTAGTGGTGGAGACAGGAAGGGACTGAAGAGTTCTCAACCCTCAAGGAAAAAAATGTAATATACATCTAGAATGCTCATTAGCAGTAAAAAAAATTGAAATTTCATCTTTGACGCCCAATATAAATTATTTAGGCCCTAGCCCTCTTAACATGATATCTCTTATTTCGTCACTATGTATAACTCACTCAAATCTAACTCATGATTTCTACAAACTTATAAATGTGATGAGGGTTAAGCCCTTTTGAGAATAAATTTTTTGTTGGTGTAACTCTTGAGCAAATGGTAGTTGTACAGTATCTACAAACTTATAAATGTGAATGAGGGTTAAGCCTTTTTGGGAATAAAATTTTTGTTGGTGTAACTCTTGAGCAAAATGTAGTTGTACAGTATGTTTAAGGCATTGTACTAATTATTTGGATACCCTCGATTATCTATTTCTGTTAAAGGTAAAAGCCAGACGACGTCTATGCAGTTGTGAGGTGATCACTTTAGTTGCATTTTGGCAGTAAAAAGGTTACTGATATTCATGAAAGCGTCATGCTAAGTACTTAACTTCAGTTTCATCTTATGAGATAATAGTATTTGAAAGTAAGCACCGTGTGATTGTTCTTTATATCAACCCAACCTTTTTTGTTACAGTTGAGGATGCTGATACCTCAGTATCATTAGCTACTGCCAACATGCAGCAAGTAAGTATGGAGGAGTAGATCAGAGGAGGAGAAGGAGCAAGGCGTGTCATTTGACCAATGGGTACTTTCACATTGTTTTACTAAGAGAAATGGTTGCCAATAGGACTAGAATTTTAACTGGGTAAGTAAATAGGACTTCAACTTATTAAATACTCAAATAGGACTTATTTTACTTGGCTTGACCTATTTACCCTTATTAAGTTATCCCATCCACCTTACGGCTTGCACTCTCTCGCATCAATTGATTCTCGATAGATATTCCCCTTCTTTTCTTTTGTACCTTCTTCCTCTCCCACAGAGATGGCGCCGCCGCGCGGGCAATGACAATGATGATACGAGGCGTGCTGGACCGGAGAACACAAGGTGAAGCGGCGAAAGAGATGGCGCCGGCGATAACTGATGATGATCGAGACGAGGTGTGCCAGACCGGAGAAGACAAGGTGCAGCGGCGGCACCGCTACCTGACCCTCCTCCTCCTTCTCCAATCCTCCCCTCCTCTCTCTTCTTCCTCTCCTTTACTTGTCTTTTTTTTCGCTGTTAGCTGCTAATTTGCTATTCTGACTTAATAACTTTTTCTTTCTTCTTTTTTGTAAATTTAAGTTGTAACTTTTTCAATATTTTGTGTTGTATAATTTTTCTAGTATTTTTTAAATTATTATTTGTTTCTTTTTACACTTTTTTGTTTTGTTTAATTTTTGTATCATTTTAGGGAGTTACAAGTGGTGGATCTGCCTAATAAGGTAGAGGAAAAGATAGGTGTTGTCCCTCACCGTTTATCTACTGATTGTGATGTAGTGAAAAGGTTGGGCAATTGCACAACTTATTTCTTGTTTGGGCTTATACTTTTCCTGTGTATTGAGTATTATTTGAACTATTGTGTTCAGGGACGCTTTGAGCTAATGCGGAGAAATTTGAGTTCCAAGCTGAAGAAATATGACAAAGGAGGATTTAATCAAGAACATGGGAGCCATTGCAAAGTCTGGAACATCAACCTTAGTTGAAAAAATGCAGAAAAGTGGAGACCTTAATTAACCTTATCGGACAGTTTGGTGTTGGGTTCTACTCTGTCTATCTTGTGCCTGACTATGTTAGGGAGCTACACTATATTTTGAATTTTGACTTTCTAGTTTGTTTTTTGTTTCAAGAAATAAAATATTGATTTTCTAACAACGACATTGTATATTACATTTGCCATATGATGACATTGTATATTACATTGTCGAATGATAACATTGTATATTACATTACCGTATTACATTGTCGTATGATGACATTATATATTACAATGTTGTACGATTAGTGCATGATCTTGTTATATTATCATACGACGACATTGTATATTACATTATATTAGGATGGCATTGTACATTACATTGTCGTACAATGACATTGTATAATACAATGTTCTACGATGACATTGTATAATACATTTTCAAACGATGACATTGTAATATGTTGTTAATATTATTACTAGTTCTTTGTAACTTTGACGATAGCATCAGGGTTCCCGGAGGATTTATTGACAAAGTAGATCTTTAGAGGATGAGCAGACCACAAGAGATCATTGACAAGAGATCATTGTATAATACATTTTCAAACGATGACATTGTAATATGTTGTTAATATAATACATTTATATTAGTTTTAGTGATTTACTCTTTTCGGTTTTAAATCATTTTCAACTTTCCTTTTATCTTTTTCCTTGAGTTTTATATTATTTTTTTAAAAATATTATGTCTTTGATAAGTTTTATCATTGACATTTGTATAACATTGTTATGACATTGTAATTGACATTGTCGTCGTGATTAATTGACATTATAACATTTTTTGATATTGTGACTTTTCTTTTATAAAATTAACATTGTCATAATGGCTATTGACATTGTCATAATTACAATGTCATTTTATAGCATCGACAATGACATTGACATTTGTATAACATTGTTATGACATTGTAATTGACATTGTCGTCGTGATTGATTGACATGATAACATTTTTCGATATTGTGATTTTTCTTTTATAAAATTAACATTGTCATAATGGCTATTGACATTGTTATAATTACAATGTCATTTTTATAGCGTTGACATTGACATTGACATAGTATGTCATTTTTATAGTGTTGACAATACCATCGGCAAGACATTGATTTATACAATGTCATGAAAATGTCATAATTTTATACGAAGTAAGACAGTAGTGATTATACTATTTGTCCATGGCAATGTCATTATCATTATTATGCACCATTGATATTGTTATGTCATTTACATTGTCATTGCAATGTCAATAATAATGTCAATGACATTATCAATAACAACTTAGCATTGTGACATTTGTATATATACAAAATGAAACATTTTTGTGACATTTTCTTATTACGTCATTTGTTATAAATACTTAACATTGTGATAACTTTTTAATAACGTTGTCACACACTTTTGAAATATTGTGACATCGCTAGCTAGTAATAGGGTCGTCTAATGAATTTCGAGGCCCTCATTCCAAATTCAAAATTGAGGCACCATAAATGAATAAAAAAATTGCATATTATGTATAATAACAAACTCACATAGTTCAATAAAATCAATTGCGTTCAAGTGTTCATATAGAAAAAGAAAAAAATTGAAATAACTACGTAGTACATATTAATATTGTCACTATTTTTTAGCTTTGTGAAGCTTTCGGCAACATTGACAAATTGTGTCATTTATGACGTCGGCCCATTTTTCCGACATTGTGTATATTCCCAATATTTTGACAATAACACACATGACATTTTTAAATATTATGACATTAATTTTAAAAAATGTGACATTGTTTGTACAATTATCACAATTGTTTAATTTCCACAATGATATTATTCAGTAGGAGCAACATACTACAAAGATAAATGTCTAAAATGAATCAAACAAATACGGAGTAATAATTTAAAAATTAATATACAAATTAAACAAAACAACAGACCGAAAAAGTTTTTTTTTGGAAAAACAATAAACTGTTTTTTTGAATATACTGAAAAGTTAACAATTTGAAAAGGAAATTAGATAAAACAAAAGAAGAAGAAACAAAAGTAAAAGGAATGAACAGGGGAAAGCAATCAACAGATCGGAAACGAATTGAATTTCTAAGCCAACAAAAAATAAAAGTAGATCTGCGCACAAAAGAAGGGTGGAAGAAAGAAGACAATAAGAAAGGAAGTCCGACGTAAGAAAGGAAGAAGGGTGGAAAGAGAAGTCCGGCGTAAGAAAGGAAGAAGAGCAGAAAAGAAGAAGATCGAAGAAGACTCAACGAACACTTCGGCGATGAGCAGCGGTAGACCAATCCGGCAAAACGCAGCGGCAGACCGCTCTGGGGACGCGCAGCGGCAGACCGCTCCGGCAATGATAGAGTTGTATTTTTATCATGTATTATTTCTATTTTAACTAGTTTTATTTGTTGTTGTTTGGAAAATTACACACTTTTGGTGTAATTAGTTAATTTTCTTAGATAGATGTAATCCTTATAATTAATAGCAATACAAATGCATCTGCACCGTTCATCTAAAAAGATCTTAACCTTTCGCTTTATAACATCATCGATCTCTTTCCTTTGTAATTCTCTTTTCTTTTGACGCATCTGTCCATCTTCTTCCGCCTATCTCTTTACTTTGTAAGTCATTACAGCTCTTCTTCCGATCTTTTACTTCCACCTTTCCCTTTCGTTTCCAATACTCTTTCAACTCGCGACTTCTACTTTTTTCTTCGACTTATTTTCCTTCCTCCTTTCTTCTTCCCAAATCGGAGTTCCTCAAGTTTGTTGGTGTCGTCAACAACATGATTTTCTCAAAAAGAAGATACTTATCTGCAGAAATCTATCAGGAGTCATTTGCCATGAAATTATCAGAAAAAAGGATATGGCTCTTCATCTACCCGAAGTCATTTGAGTGAAAATCATCCGAAAAAAGAGATTGTTTCTTCCTTCAAAGTTGATCGTTTCTCCGTATATTATTCCAGTAAAATCTGGATTTGGTGAAAAAGTGATTAATCGTCGACGGGATCTTGGAGATGTGAGGGCGGCTCGAAGATGGAAATGGGATCTGGCAATTGGGTAGGGCGGCTCCCGATTATCGATTATCGGCTAATCGACGTTTCTCCTTTGGAACGAATTAGTTGGACGAAGGGGACCAGCCATAGAAGATGCTTTAGATGCTCGCAATTGGGATCTCAGAGTCGCAAGCAAAGGCCGGCTTTCAACCGTGAACGAGTCAGGCCTCCAGTCGTCTGGCACCAATCAGGGAAGCGAGACACGGTCTTCTCCGGCTACCATGCGCGGCGGCCCTTTCTGCAGAACTGCGAACAAGACTTTGCTGGGCGGACTCATGATTCATGGTTTGGAGGTCGTGGATGTGGCCTCGGAAACGGTGGGTTCGGAAATCTTCAAAACCACAACAGAGAAACACAAGTGACTTGGTGTGTGGTAAGCAGTTGTTGAATCAGGCAGAAACGGGACGAAACTTTGGGACAGATAAGTTTGTTGTCTTGATTGAAAGTAAAATTTTCCAATTTAAAGTTCTGGACTGCAATAAGCTTCGTATTTCTGAAACAAAGAAAGGAATTACCTCTGCAATTGATTTTGATGTTACTGGGATTACATGGTTAAAGAGCTCCATGCTCAAGATTTTTGGTGATAACAGGTCTTCCGTTAAATTAGAGCTGAATAAATCACTTATAGTTCTCTATGATGCAAATCACTTTGGTGGCTTTATCCGAATCATTGAAAAGGGAAAAGATTCTTTATTTATTCCAGAGGGACGGAATGGACAAGGGATTGATCTTTTTCTTAAAGGAATTACAAGGGCAATTGATTTGTTGAAGGAAATAGGTGAAAAAACATTAGCACTTGAACTTATTTCAAGTAAGAATGATGAGATGATTGGCAATAATGTATTAGAATTTTTGCCTAATGGGAATAACTATGAACCCGAAACTTCCATTTCGGGCGCTTTACTACAAGCTGATATTGAGTTTTTAAATTCTTCCCATCATTCTTTGGATTTGGTTACTTTAGATGAGGTGCAGGGCGTTGAACATACTCCCGATTCTGTTGAAAATCTTAAGGAATTCTTTCAGGCAACCTTAACAAATGGGGTGGAATCACTCTCTCATTTTCTACTCCGTGAATTTGAGAGACTTCTCGTCTCTACTTTGGATAACCTTGACAGTTTGAGATTGAAAGCCACTATTGAAGGGAAATCTTCTAGGACACAGAAGAATTCGGAGCATGTTGATAAGAATGAGAAAGGAGGGTATTACAATGCTTTAAGTGATCTTGCGGTTTCTGATTGGGACTATGCAAATACAGGTTTCACTGGCAATGATGAGTTCGAAAAGGCTTTTGGAGAATCATGCTCTACTCTTTCAGGTGATGAATTCTAGGCCTGGGACCGGTTCGGTTCCTAGGCCAAATATGTGGAACCGTTTGAAAATATGAAATTTTACTAACGGTTCGGTTCTTATAAATTATTTTATAGAACCGATAAGGAACCGAACCGTTCTTAACGGTTCGGTTCTTGTCATTTAACGGTTCCTAGTCTTCAAAAAAATTCTTACAAATCATGACTAAATTTTTGCCAAAAAGACATTCTACGTTTGAAATTACGATACAAATATGCTTAAACAGTTAAATAGAATAATAATTTTAAATACTTTGGACCTTCAAAGTTCCGACCCGCTGAAGTTCTGACCTAATGAGAGGCCTAAGAAGCCTAAGAGAACCGGTTGAAGTGAATAATAGTTTTAAATAGTTGAATAACTAAACTAAAACAATGAATGTAATATAAAAATAAGTAAGTAAATATACATAAAAATATATATACTCATAAGAAATATATATAATTTTAATTATTATATATAACGGTTCTTTAACGGTTCCTAGTACATATTTTTTTCAGGAACCGAGAACCGAACCATTAATAAAAAATAGGAACCGAACCGTTAAAAAATAACTAATAAATGTTGGAACCGAACCGAACCGGGTCATAACGGTTCGGTCCGGTTCGGTTCTCCGGTTCTTGGTTCCAAAGTCCCAGCCCTAATGAATTCCTTGGTCATGTCTCAGAAAATGAGAAGAGGGTTCCTATTTCGACGGTGAGTGATCTTTGGGACTATGATGCAAATGAGGTTATTTGTCAAAAAGCATTGCTTGTTACACGAGAAAATTGTTTACCCACTCAAAACTTGAATACTCAAAAGAGAATGTACAAAAAGAAGAATCAGAGATCACATCTTATGAGGACAAGATCTCAAGCACGAGCGGGTCTTTGAAGACTATTCTGAGGGTTGTGGTTTTTTACACCGGGTTTTTAAGGAGGGTTTTTTTTCTTACTCTGGGTTGGGCATCTCTCTTATTTGTTCGTTTTTATTTACTTTATTTTCTTTTCTTAGCTTTATTTTCTTTTCTTAGCTTTATTGTACTCTCGAGATTCCTTTTAATAAAATTTCCTTATTTAAAAAAACAAATAAAAAAAAAATAAAAAATATTCCAGTAAAATCTTATTCTTCTTCCCAGAACATTTTCTCTTTCTCTATCGTGCTTTTTTCAATGTTGAAATCGATTTTGTTTGTTTTTTCTATTGCTACTTAGAGGTTGTTCGAATTGACCTTCACAGGTTTTTTTTGCTTCAGATTCTGGTTCAGATTGAGAAATCAATTTGTTCCATTGGACAAAGTACCACATGTTCCAAGTTAATCATCTACTCTGGTTTTTCATCATACAATGATTTTGGAATTTTCCATACAGTAACATTTTGGGAAAATTCCTTAAATAGGAGTAAAAAAGTTTTAAAATTCCAAAATAGGACTGCCACCATGTTTTTATTCCATAAATAGGATTAATTTTTGCCAAGTTTGGCATTGCCCGGCTTTAAACATGGCAGTTTTTTTCAAACATTGCAGAAATTACTCCTATTTAGTGAATAAAAACATAAGGTACTATTTTGGAATCTCAAAACGTTTTTACTCCTATTCAGGGCAATTTCTACAACATTTTTTTCTATTTTATTGAACATTCTTTATGATTATTACGCCTTTGATTCATTTATTTTTATTTGTTTTAGACTTGTAGATCTTTGAAAAATAGGAAAGCAACTCAAAAGATTGCTTTTCTAAAAAGACTACTTTATGCGTAAGGAATAAAAAAAATTACCAAACCCTTCTTTGAGTTAACTTATGCATTCCATATTAGAAAATAAAGACTCTTTGATCTGTGTACTCTAATTAACTTTAACATATTCTGAAGATAGTTGTTCCTCACATGTCTTGCAATTTTATTTCCAAAATTTAACTATGAGCTTTTGGTATTTCAATTTTGTTTCAAAACTATAGTTTCGTGTTAGTTCTTTATCTAGCTGGAAACCTTTTGTTACTCATTGCACTATTGCACTTGGTCTTGATAAAATATCGATCATTTCTAAAATTTTAAGAATAAGAAAACTAAATGTTTGCTTATTTATATCTATCACTGCATCCTACCTGAGGGCGGATTTATTGGTGAAGCTTCACCGCCCAAAATTTTGAGCATTTATAATGTCTTGAAGTTTTTTATATGAAAACCCCCATATAAATATAAGAAGTGAGATGATGGAATAACTTGATATCATTAACCATACGTATGGAGTTACATTTATAGTTACAGAGAGCAAGCTATACAAGTAGTCTAGCTATACAAGGAGTCTAATGAGATAATAACAAGAGTAATAAAAGGATAATTACGAGAGAATAAGGAGATAATTACAAGGGAAAATATGATAATAATTATTGTTTAATACGCCCCCGCAAGATGGAGGATCCATCGGAGACACCCATCTTGGATCGGAAGAGATTAAATGCGACACGCCCAAGTGGTTTAGTAAGAGCATCCGCAACTTGATGTTTGGTAGAAATATGTCGAACATGAAGTTGATGACGTTCAACTAGCTCTCGGACAAAGAAATAATCAAGGGCCAAATGCTTCATTCTAGAGTGGAACACGGGATTTGCACAAACAAACGTTGCACCAAGATTGTCACACATAAGAAGTGGAGGCCGAGAGAGAGAGATACCAAGTTCACATAACAAGTTTTGGACCCAAAGTAATTCAGCAGTTGCATTAGCAAGAGCCCGGTACTCCGCTTCAGTTGAAGAACGAGAAACACATTTTTGTTTTGCCGATTTCCATGAGATAATATTAGAGCCAAAATAAAGCACATAAGCTGTAGTTGAGCGACCACCATCATGAACCCCTCCCCAGTCAGAGTCGGAAAATGCAGATAATTGAAGGGGAGTACCTCGACGAAGAAAGAGACCATGAAACATAGTACCCTTGAGATAGCGAAGGACCCGCTTAACCGCTTGCCAGTGAGTGTCCGTAGGAGCATGCATAAATTGGGAAAGTTTATTGACCGCAAATGAAATATCCGGACGAGTAAATGCTAGGTATTGAAGAAGTCCCAAGATTTTCCGGTATTCAGAGCTATCGGCAGCAGGAGAACCATCACTTAATACTAATGGTGGTGTGGGAGCCATAGGAGTACTGGCCGGCTTGGACCCATCCATGCAGCAGGTTTCCAGAATGTGTCTTATATACTGTTGTTGAGAAAGAAAAATACCAGAGCATGTTGGGATGACCTCAATCCCCAAAAAATGATGCAAAGGGCCGAGATCTTTCACCGAGAACCTAGTAGTAAGCTTTTTGACAAAGTGATCCAAAGCTTGAGAGTTATTGCCTGTGAGAACAATATCATCCACATACACAAGAAAATATAATAAAATAGATCCACGAGAGTAAATAAACAAGGAAGCGTCTGCACGGGACTTCCGAAAGCCGGCAGATAGAAGAAAACCAGAAAGCTCCAAGTACCAAGCTCGGGGAGCCTGCTTAAGGCCATACAAAGCCTTCTTTAGTCGACACAGATGGTTTGGAGTATTTGGATTAATATAACCGGGTGGCTGAAGCATGAAAACCTCCTCATGCAACGTACCATGCAAAAAGGCATTATTTACGTCAAGTTGACGAAGCGGCCAGTGACGGGACAGGGCAATACTCAATATGATACGAACAGTTGCGGGTTTTGTAACCGGACTGAACGTATCAAAATAATCACGACCATATTGTTGCATAAATCCCTTAGCAACCAAACGGGCTTTGTAGCGAGCAATAGAGCCATCGGGATGACGTTTAATACGAAAAACCCACTTGCATGGAATAGGCGTTTGATGAGTACGGGGAACAAGCTCCCAGGTATCATTATGCTGAAGAGCCTGAAATTCGGCGTCCATAGCATTTTTCCAGTGAGGGTCTTTGAGCGCTTGTCTCACACTGGTTGGTTCAAGGGACGGGGGAGTGGGATGGACGGTGGTAAGATTAAGATAAGCATCCCCAAAGTATTTGGGATTAAGGCGTTTAGCACGTACAGGGCGGGAGGTGTCAGTATGGCGAGGGGGGGATGCATGGGATGATGTGGGTGAAGAGGATGGTGTGGGTGGGGAGGAAGACGTGGAAGATGGGGAAGGGCTAGGTGATGAGGTGGTATGAATGGAAAAGTCAGGAAGGGAGTTGGAATTTGGGTGGGGAGAAGTTTCGGTGGAGGCAGTAGAATTAATAGGGGGAGGTGAGTTGGCAGATGAGGGTGAACTAGGAGGGATATGTGGAATAGACAAGGTGGATGGTGTGGGAGACATAAGTACCGAGGGAGGAGAACACATAGACTCTGAATTTGGCACCGGTGACACACAAGAAGATATAGATGACCGAAAAGGAAAAACATGAGGTACAAAACGAACATGACGGGACAAATATATACGACCAGTAGATGAGTCAAGGCACTTGTAGGCAGACTGAGTAAGAGAGTATCCTAAAAATACACACGGTATAGACCGAGGATGAATTTTGGTTGGGGCATAAGGACGTAACCATGGGTAACATAAACAACCAAAAGGTTGAAGTTTGGCATAGTTGGGAGTGGTGCGGAGTAGGCGAAAATATGGGGTATCATACTGGAGAACGCGAGTGGGAAGACGATTTATGAGGTAGACGGCAGTATGGAATGCAAATGACCAATATGATAACGGTAACCCAGCATAATGAAGTAGAGACAAACCAGTATCAACAATATGACGATGTTTCCGTTCAGCGGTACCATTATGTTCAGGAGTATGTGGGGGAGTGGTGAAATGAGAAATTCCCAAACGTTGAAATAAAGGAATTAATTTGGTAAACTCTCCCCCATTATCCGAAAATACAGATATAATGGGATACCCAAAAAAAATTTTCAACCAGATTGCGAAATTGAACAAATATTGCAAATACATCTGATTTACGAGAAATAGGGTATAACCACGTATAACGAGTAAAATGATCAACAAATATAACATAATATTTGTGACCATCGACTGAACTAGTTTGAGTGCCCCAAACATCTGTATAAATTAATTCCAATGGAGAGTGACTAGTCATGGAATTATTAAAAAAAGGCAACTTGATGCTTTTATTAATAGCACAAGAATTACAATGAAATGTTGAGATATCATTACAATTCAGGGCAATCTTATTATGACGTAAAATAGAAACTAATACTGGAAGAGATGGATGACCCAAAAGATGATGCCAGTCTTTGAGGGAGACGACACCTGAGACATTGGCTTGAGGTGACGAACTAGGTGCATGATAGACATCATTTGTGTTCTCCCCTCGCATTAGGCACGCCCCCGTGTTGAGATCCTTAACAAGAAAATGATAAGGAAAAAATTCAACAGAAACACGGTTAGTCTGACATAATTTAGCAACAGAAACAAGGTTTTTATGAAGGCGAGGGACACAAAGAATGTTAGATAAGGTGAGGGGCTGGGTAGAGGTCGGGAGGATGGTTTTACCAATGTGAGAAATACTCAAAGACTTACCATCACCGAGATGAACACTATCGGGACCACCATATTCTGAGAATGACTGAAGGAATGAAGGCTCCGACGTCATGTGATGAGAGGCACCGGTGTCAAAAAGCCAGGATTGAGGCGCAGACGAGGAGCCAGCAGTAGAAACATTAGCTGACGGAGCAGACGGCTGAGCATTTGGAACATTATTATCACGAAGAAAACGTTGGAGTTTGCGACAACGTTTTGCATCATGACCTGGGATGTCACAAAACCGACAGACTATAGAGTAGCCACGACCACGGCCAGAAGCAGATTCATAGCTTGGAGGACCAGCATAGGAACGATCAGAAGAAGCAGACTGATGAGACCCGCGACCACGGCCACTGCGGCCACCACGAGAACCAGTCGGAAAACGATCATTGTGCACAGACTGGGTGTTACGATGAGTATAATTGGCTGTAGCAATAACCACTTGTTGGGCAGTTTCAAGTTCTTTAAGCTGACGTTCCTGATCAAGAAGAATGCCCCGAAGTTCAGAAAGAGGCATTTTTTCAGAACGAACACGAATAGCTGCTGTGATGTCTTTGTAGTCTCCGCCGGTCTTAAATTCAAATAACTTCCTTTCATGAACTCGAATTTAACCGAAAGAGTAGCTTTTCTTAGAATTTCATTTTACGATAATATATTACATATTCATTTTGTTTTCCATCTACTTTTGGGGAAGCGTATATTATACAATCGGCTATATACAATACAATCGGCTTATCTTAAATGAGCATTGATGCAATTTGGGTGAGCATCAAACCCGTTCTTTTGATTTTTGAGTATTGGGAGCCTAACAATGTGTCTGATCGGCACGGGACCCGGAGCGGCCTGCCATTTTGCGGGCCCGACCCGGTGGACCGGTACTGGGCCTAGGCCTGACCCTGGGGGGACGGGACTGCATATTTGGGGACTGGCCCGGCCTGTCCGGGCCTGGTCCGGGCCTTCTTTTTTTGTTTTTTTTTTGGGTTTGGGTCTATGGTAGATGGGCTGGGCTGGGCTGGGTGTTTTGGCGGGGTTTGGGGGTGGTGGGGGTGGCGCATTTTTTAGTTTTTAACAAGTCAAGATTATTTATTAGGGCCCGTTTGGTACTCCATGTTTTCGTCATATCTGCCAATTTTTGTAACAAATGCGCAATTTTTATTTCACACACTGAATTTTTTATTATAATAGGTAGTTCACTCCCGTGCAACGCACGGGTCGAGTAACTAGTTTGTTTAGATTAGGATTATTCTGAGCTCAAAACAGGTCAAGGTCATCCAAAGGATCAAGTTTGGACCCCAAAAGATCAAGGAAAGTGTAAGGGGACAAGATCAAAAGAAGATTGAAAAAATATTTCATATACCCGGTCGGGTATTGAGTTGATTCGGGTGTCAAAATCAGAATCTGGAGAGACAAAAGAACGGGCAGGATTTTGACTTTTTGGCTCATACCCGACCGGGTATGCCTACATACCCGACCGGGTATGTCTAGAAAAGTGATTTTCCGGGAAACTGCCTAAAATACCTGATCGGGTACCCTATATACCCGATCGGGTACACAACCCTGCCACCTCCAAACACCTATAAATACACCCCTTTTCCTTCACAATAAAAGCACCCTTCTTCCATACTCTTAAGCTCAGTTTAGAATAGTATTTCTTTTATATTTTTATAGCATGTTTAGTCTCCAAATGAGGAGCTAAACTTCCATTTCTTGGTGTTGCTCTTGAAGCTTGTTGATTATTAAAGTTGTGAGTTATTTTCTTAACTTCTTCCCTTGAATATTAATTATTCTCTTAATCTATCTATATATTAATGTTGGGGAGTGTTGCTAAGATGACAATTAGTTAACATCTCGACATTAGTTATAGTAGTATTTATTTTCTTCCTCTATATATTAATGTTGGGGAGTGTTACTAAGATGACAATTAGATAACATTTTGACATTAGTTATAGTAGGATTATTCATATTTAATCTTCTTCCTTGAATATTAATTCTTCCCTTAATCTATCTCTATGTTAATGTTGGGGAGTGTTGCTAAGATGACAATTAGGCTATGTTTGGCGGGCATAAGTCCCTGACTTCTAGCTTTTGTACTGTTCAAAAAGTTCCTAAAAGCTTCTAGTTGTGTGTTTGGCATGACAATATTTAAGAACTTTTCAAAAATTAAAAGATCTTTTTTGAGATGCTACCGGGAGTAGCATCTAAGAAAAGCTAGTGACTTTTAGTATTAATTAATCCTAACAGCTTGTATACCAAACCGAACTAAATCAAACAGTCAGCTTTTCATCAAACAGCTACCACCTTTTATTTTTAAGATCTTTTCAGTCACTAAAAGCTAACAGATATTAAAAAGCTCACAAAAGTATCTTTTCAGCTAGTTGTGCCAAACATGCCCTTAGTTAACATCTCAACATTAATTACTACTAGAAACGCTCAACGAACCGATGGTTAATCGTTGATGGTTTCACAAGTAAGTAACTTCGGTTTATTAATGCATGGTCGTGGTTAATAAACTTAAGAGGGATTAATTTTGTTGGTTAAACCGAAACCGTTGTGTTGAGGTTATCAATCTCAATTGATTTCATCAAGGAGTTAATAGATTAAATGCTACTATCAAGTCGGTATATGGCGATGTTCTATACTTGACTAATAGTAAGGGTTATTAATGAACGGTCATTGTTAATAACTACCCTCGATGAATTGGATATACTCCTCGATTGAGTATTCGAGAGGGGATAAGTTATAGATATAACAATGATCAACTAAAATATATTAACAAGTGGAAAGTAGCAATGCCAAGTCCTTTTTATCTTTGAATTAAATCTCATATAAGTCCTTCATCTTAGTATTTAATTAATTAAATTACAACAATACCAAAACCCCCCTTTTATTTACTAGTTCATAAAAAGAGAATTATTCCTTTCCTTGTGGATACGAACTCTACTTCACTATACTACGTATTAGTGCTAGTATTGAATTTATTTTGAGTGCACACACGACAAAGTGCACGTCAAATTTGGCGCCGTTGCCGGGGAAAGGCAATTATTTTTCTTTTTATTTTATCTCATAAAAATCAAAAAGCAAAAAAAAATAAATAAAAATAAAAATAAAAAACTTACTCTTCTATTTTCTGAGCTTACATGAGTTATGAGCGTATGGATACCAACACTTCATCCTTAGAGAGTCAAATTTCCTTCTTGACTTCTCTAATAAATGAATTTATCTTAAGCTCAAAAGCTCAAGATGCCAAGACATGCAACATTTGCATGTCTCACAGGCATCTGACGGATTTCTGCCCAAAGCTCCAAGATGAATACTTTGAACAAATTGATGATGTTGGTTACGAAAGGAATGTACCTCACATGAGGTATGATCCATTCTCCAACTCTAACATGTCTACGGAGGATATGGTCCGGGCT